TACTACTACTACTACTACTACTACTACTACTACTACTACTACTACTAACAAGTCCGGTGGTGCTCCACCAGGCTACCATAAGATTGGAAGGTTTAAGTATATTTTGGGTGCACATTCTGCTGCGCATCTCATGTCTCTTGTCATGTCTCACGTCTGAACCGGGCATTCCCTGGCCTGCAGGTGTCCCAACAAACCCAAGAAGCGACCCCCGAACCGTAGAACGCGACCTCACCGAAACGGTGGAAGCTGGTCCTTCGCATTCCTGTCTGAAGGCCCCTGAAGTTGACATGGTTTGAAAGCACCTGAGCAGGAGCCTCAAACTACGAGCTCACACGCCACCTGACCCAACCTGACCCTGAGCAGCCTGAGCAACCACACAAGCGCCATGATGCGTATCCAACACTGAAGCCCAAGCAATCACCCAAGCGCGCAAGCCACGCGAAGCATCGCACTCCTTCAGAACCGGCGCCAAGCCTTGGAGCCCCTGCCAACTGCTCTGGTGCCCAAATGCTCACATGCTTTCGGCAGAGCATCCCTGCGAGGAGATGATGATGGCCCAGTCCAAACCGGGCTACACCTGCAGGTATAAAGTAATGGTATGAGGTCACCTTCGTAGCGTATGCTATATAGTGATGGTGATCCAAGGATTTGCCGTATGTTTGTGTTTTTGTTGACAATATGTGTGACTGTGAAGTCTGACCTGTTGCCCAGAGCTTCAAAAGGACCTGTTCACCATCTTCTTTTCGGGAGGATACTTGCCTGTTTTCATCTGTTTTCCTTGCGCGAGCCTGGTATCTCAAAACCTATCAAAACCATCTATATCCATCTATATAGAGGAATCATCCATCAAAAAAACAAAACCGCGCGCCTCTTCTTTCGGAAAAAGAACACCAATCTCATCCAAAACACATGCAGCACTATGCCTCTTCTCATCAGAACCACGTCTGCCTCCGCCTCTGGAGCCTCCCCCGCCCCAACCGGCCTTCGGAGGTCCACAGAGGCGAAAAGCTGCTGTGGTTCACCAACTCGATCCTCGGACGGACACGCTTCGCACCGGACGGCACGGCCGAGACCGGTGAGCTGGGATGGAGTGGAAGGCGAGTAGAACATGGAGCTGAAAGATGCTTCGGCGTGGATATATCACAGGTTGAGTCCACATGGAAGACAACAGGATCTTCCTCGCTCGTGAAATGGATCGACGGTCGACCCATTCGCGCACAGCGCCCTTTTTCCAGGTGCCCCTGCACCATGCGACGCAACACGTCCAATGGCAAGCCCTGCGGAGCTCGATGCAACGGCTCTGGACGCCGTCACTGGAACAATGGTCTGGGATGGTTTGGGACCAAACTGGCGTTCCCAGTTCCTTTAAGGGTCCAAGTTTGCTCAAAAGACTGGTGCTCGCTGACCCTTGAGCTTGTGAACGTCTGCTCGGCGTAAGCCGCCAATGAACGTGTGACTCGACAAGGAAGCACACCAGTTCACACAGCTTTTCTTCCTTGGCGGGGATGGAACCTTCCACAAGACATGAACAAAGCTGAACAACTTAATAGTGCATATACAGTGTTAAGATATGTTATAAGCTTGTATTATTATGTACAGTTCGCCAAGCCAACCAACACAGAAGACCAACACTCAGCTCCCCAAAGCAATGTGAAGAACAGGGACTCCAGATGCATTTTCTGGGTGAATGTTCCTCATGAACTGCTCCCGGGACATTGGGACATCGGCTTTTGGGTTGAGGAAACCATTTCGTCGTGTAGATTGAGTCCATCACCTTTAACATCCTTCAAACTTCCAAGTGCCTCCACATGCCTCCAGTCTACATCGGCAAATCTTGACATTCACATGAAGATAGCTAGGCCGCGACAGCGGCTGGTTGGTGGGGTTAGATTTTCCCACAGCATCAGATCCTCAGAAACTCATCTCTGACAGTCGGTCGGACTGCTCCTCTGGTGGTGGCAAAGGCTCTCCCATATGCTTCACCACGGGCGGCGGCCTTCGCGAGCGAGGCTTAAAGCCACTTGACGGGTGTGGACAAACGTGATGTGGCACAAGGCTGATGTGGCAATGATCGCTTCATCACAAAAGATGCAAAGAACTAGTAAGTTATTTGTGTTGGATTGAAACAAGACACAACATGTCAGAATACTTCCATACCTTGTTGAAATGAGAGATCCTAAATTGCAACCATCAGTCTTGTGAAATGTTGCATCTTGGATTGAATGCCTTTGCAAGTGAGTTCTTTTTCCATCCTTTTCCAAACATCCTGGACTATCTACTCAAGACATCTCCAGACTTGACTTCGATGAAGGGACCGCAACAAGTTCTTTGTCTTGGCTCAAGTGATTCTGAGGGGCTTCCCTCAAAAAGATTCCGCTCCTTCTGCGGCTCCAAGCCTGAAAGCGCTGAAAGCCCCTGCTCACACCCAGAGCTCCCAACACGAGCACGCGAGCGTCATCCGCACGGGCCCCGGGCCGAGTAATTTCAAATGCGGCCATCCACTCCTGGGAAATGCTGTGTGTGTGTGTGTTTCGTTTTAATGATCTGCATGATCTGCACGGCTCTGCTGTGGTGAACATCTGTCTTTTTCTCCGTTAGTAGCCCGAAATCGAGTAGCCCTTAGGGTATAGGTCTATAGGCTATAGGTAGGAAATGATTCATCAAGGTTCACTTTCTATGCAGTGGAGCCATGCATTTCCTCTCTGCCGCTGCCCGTATCAAAACCCACAAAGTCTCCCCTTCTGTAAGCGATTCCTTCAGCAAAAATGTCAAAAAGACCCGAGTCAAGGGGGGAACTTAACTATAGTTACTCTGTTGGCCAGGCCTGCTATGCCGCACTCTTCCCCACCTCGACCGACAAACGGCACTCCCGACAAACGGCACTCGACCGAGAAAGCTCTCCTCCGCGCTGATGGAGCCACGCTTGGCCGTGTCCAAGGTCTCAAAGAGCCTGTGGAGATTTGTGGAGATCTGTGGAGGAGGAAGAGAGGAGAACAGTCATGAACGCTTCTAATTTTGGACTCTTGAGTCTGTTCTGTTTTCCCCCCACATGAAGAGGCCTTGTAATTGTCACTTATCATCAATGAAAAGTCATAAAATATAGTCATTTTGATGAGCTTCAATCACTTGCCAGCCATCATTCCAAGTACTTGAGCACAATCTCACCATGGAGTTTAGACATATACTGACTCCCACGATTCCTGACTCCCACTCCATGTACTGAAAAACACCGAAGTGTCCCCCATTTTTGCTCTCCCACTCCTCCCATCTTCGGTGCTTTCACCCCCGCCTCAGCCGGTCCTTGGGCAGCTCCAAGCGCCGCGCGGCCTCCGCCTCCGCGACGTCGTGCGCGGTGACCTCGCCGTCGCCGTCGGCGTCCAGGAGCTGAAAGGCCGCCTAGGCGGACCGAGCCCGCGCGCGCGGGCGGGCGGTTCGTGGTGGGCTCGGTTCGTGGTGGGCTCGGTCCAGTGGGTCGAGATGGAGGACGTCTCCATATATCCTACCAGGTGGAATTGGTCTGGGTTTTGGGAGTGTTAGTGCAACGTGAGCGGATGTGTTCAGGGGTATCCTGGGGTATCCTGGAACTTCCAAGTTGGGTACACGTAGTCCAGGAAGCTTCATGATTCTTGATATCCCTTGACAAATCCCGCCACAAAAAGTCTGTTGCAGACTTTCCCCAAACTTACTTGGCATTTGCTCGTCTACTGAGCTGTTGGGCTGCCCTGGTGGGGAAAGTGATCCCAAACCGGAACACTAAAATTTGTTGAAACCTATTTAAAGCATTTGGTTGTGTAATAAAGTCCATTTAATTGATCATCCATTTCAGTGAATATGATCCCTGCCTCTGGGGACACGCCGGCACTGCTGAAGTGCCGATAGGCCTTGCCTCGCGAGTGATGCCGAGTTCGGCTCGTGGGCAGTATAGGTCTGATGCGACATGATGAGCAACTTGCTTTTCTCAGCCGGGATTTCCTTCAATGGATCATCATGGATCATCGGTGTTCAATGGACATCGGGTATAGGGTATCCAAAACAAAAACGATTTGGATGGTCCTGGTAGAGTCGGATTGGAGCTGGACCAAGACACCCTGACCCGGGTTTTTCTGAGTGACACTCGGTTCACGATCGGACTGTGCCATTTCGACCCCTCCCAAACCATCCGTGGGACTGGAATCTATGCCTACATTGACCTGCCTGCCACCACCCCTAAACTGATCGGTCAATAGACGGCAGTCCCATGGAATGGTCGGACAGTCTGCCCGCTCCAACGACCGCCTGAGCAGGTGGTTGGAGTGGGTTTTGGGGGTCTAACATGGTCCAACCACCTTCAGAGGATATGGGCCAGGAGCCCGGGCTGGCACAGCCAGCCTCCTCTGGGACTTTAGTCGATCGAAGGCCGCAGCAAAGTGTTTGAGGCCGAAACGATGGAGTGATGCTCACCGTGGCGAGCGCCAAGGCAATGTGCGGTGCCTGGCACCTTCACAATGAAATGAGATTTAGGTATGTGCGCTGATCCGACATGTTAAAATTAGCTTGAGATGATCGGACATTGTAAGCTTACGCGCCAAAATGGTGCACGTACCTGCACCTTTTGTGAATCCGCGAGTGTGGGATCTGCATGGATCTGCGACACTGCCCCATGCGAATCTCACTCCATACTAGGTTCCAAGAGTGCAAGAGTGCAAGCACCAGTTGATTATCTAACAACCAAACCTCATAACTGAAACACCTTGGCTAAAACTCAAAACACACATGCCCTTCCCAAACTGCCATATATGCCTACATTGAACGAACGAACGAGATCGGGGAAGGTAGCGCAACAACTATAAGGTTGACCCCGATAGTGCACACAAGTCTCCGCACTCCATGGGCGCCCCGGTCCGGCGCTATTCCTCAAAAGAGAGGGTACATATAAGCCAAACTAAACCTAATGACGCATGTCCTTAGGTTCACTGCGCTGCTTTAACGGGAGACAACAAAGTTTGCCCTGCCGACTCTGCCGCGCTCCTGCGCAGCTTAGGTAGGTACCACCCCGGCCGCTCACCAAAACTGCTCACCACATGGGTATGGGGGGGTGCCCTCCCACCTTCCCCCACCCTTTTGCCTCCTCTGCCCTTTCCTCCCGCGCCGTTGCCCCTAGCCGGTGCCCCTCCCCATGCAGCCGCCCCTCCTTCCCCTTCAGCAGCCGGACGACAGGCAGGCAAAGCCGTGAAAGCAACAGAGCGGGTCCGCTCCAGGGCTCCCAGCCGGGCGTGAGAACACCAACAACCAAGGCAACAGGCAGGAGAGAGAAGCCTCTACGAGTCCGTATAGGACTCGTTCTGGGAACATCAGGCACAACCACCCGGAGTTTCCGTGGGCCGATCTTCTGGCGATGCCAGCCCCGCAACCTCAGTAGTGCCCGGACAGGTACCCGAAAAGCTAGCCCCTAAACCTCGGGTATTCCAGGCAAGCAGACCGAAACGAACCCGACCGGCAACCGAACACGAGCGGGCACCTAACCGACGTTGGGCCTTAGTGCAATTCCACCGATGTATCTTGTGTTTGCGGGACGGGCCGAAAGTTTCTGAAAGCTCTTGACCGTTCGACGCAGGCGATTCCGACGCACGTAGCCCGGAAGACTCCTCATGGGCCATCAGCTGTCGCAAGTGCCGCGACCCCGATGGAACCTGTCCCCCCGTAACCATCCTTCTTCTAGACACACTCTTCGAACCGGCAGACGCAACACCTCCACTCCCCTCAGCACTTGAAAGCACTCCACCTGGCGAAGCCACTCCCGAAGTGCCGAACATCGTCGGGCCTGAAACACCAACCACACCCCCGCCGAGTCCACCCCCTCCAGACGTCACAGCAGCGTTCTGGCCAGGAACGACTGCTGACCCCAACGACACAAAAGATGGAAGAGGCACAACCCCCAAAGAAGTGCACCTCAATGTCCACCGATTGAGGTGTAGAACGGGGTTGCTCGCGTCCCGCCCCCACCTTTGAGCAGAAACACCAGCAGAAGCACAAACACAAAACACCCGGAGGCTCCAGACCCGTAGGACTGGATTGGGTTTGCCTTCGGCATCCAGCCCCCCAGCATACACCTCCAGACTCCACCCTCCCATGCACCTGCACCTGTCTACCAGCTCCATAGGGACCCACACCGGGTACTTGCTACCGAAGTTGCCCCGTAGCCGCCCGCGAGGAGGACCGCGAGCGAGGAGGCCACGTGCCTAAACCACCCCAAACCACCCCAATGTAGTCAATGTAGGCATATATATATATATGGCAGTCCCATGAGCGTCTGGGCTTGTTACACACCAACATCGACTCCAGGTGCCCCGAGCCCAACGTCCGCTCCCGGCGCTGCCGCTGCCCGTCGAGGCCGCTGGCGAAGAGCTCCGCCACGGGCGCCTCGCGCCAGACGCCGTCCGGCCTGGAGGCGGCGGAGTGGAGGTCGTTTTGGGAGAGACACGGCCGGTCACCGGAGTGGGTGGGTGGTACGTATTACTTGGGGTGGTGTCTGGCGTGGTTGAAGGAGGGTGAAAGGTAAGGATGAAGAATGACGAACATTTTATCGGTGCAAAAGAAGTTGTCTCCGCGTGTTGGCTTGGCCGTGTCACGTGTGAGAATGCCATGGAGGGTTCAGAATAGGAAGCTATAGCAGGTATACGCTGATGAAGGAGACTTAGCAACTCTGCATGATGGGATCTTTGGTCGATTTTGTCAAAAAGAGACTGGGCAAATGCAAAAGGACTAACTAATTACCATTTGCAGTTTCACAAGGTTTCCAGGCCTCTTCCATCAACATGATCACATTCAAGGTTCCATACCCCCAGCCACAAACCGAAAAGGACACATGGAAGTGGACAAATCACCATGCTTAACAACTGTTTGGTATGAAAACGGTCATCCCATGCCATCCACTTCCACTTCGCTTCCATGACTTCAAGGACGTCCGTCTTCCTCTCTTTCCACTCGCCGACTCACTCACAGCCACCGCCCGCGCCCGCTCCCGTCGTCTGCGCCCGAGGGGCACGACGCAGCGCCGCCCGGCGAGCGACGCCACGAAGAAGTCGCGCAAGGCGTCGCCCGGGCCGACCTGCGAGGCGCGGGGTCCAGGAGCAAAGCGAAAAGGGGAGAGCGCCTACGGTCGAGGATTCAAACGGGTGGAATGGTTATGTATACCAGCACCGATTTAAAGAGGGGGTGATGGGGTGTCACCTGGCTGGTTTCGCCCCAGCCCACTACCTAGGGATCTCCAGACAGGACACCCCGTTGAAGGTCCAGGTAGATTTGCTTTACTATTCCCAACTCATCCTGGGGCCCTGTCTCCCAGGTAACCAGCCCCCAGTTCCGGGCAGAGTTGGAACTAGGCTCCCAGCGATGAACCACATCAAGAACATGCATGGAAAAGCCTTCAAAAACGCTCTGTCTTTTTTCATCTGCGAGCTGAGAGGTTCGAGATTTCAGCTGGGGCTGTTGCCACAACCTTCAAAAGAGACCGTTTTAGGGCCCTTTCTTCCATCTTCACCCCAGTGGAAGTTGATTGGACTACTTTCTTCAAATACCCCATGTAATCCTCTCCACTGAAACAGTGGTAAGAACGCACGTTGCACTTCCACCGTTTGCAATCCAAAGCCATGTGGTTGTACAAATGCAATTTGGGAAGTACCAACCATCTTAGGAGGCCTTGGTGGCTCGCTTCCCATGCAGCCGCAAGCCAAAAGTGACAGCCCTGTAGCGCAAGATCGTGAAGCTGTTGGCTCTGGGAGCTAGTCAGGTACATGATAGGGAAAAGTTCCGTCAAGCGTTGCCACTCCGCAAAGGTACACCTGAAATCAAGGCCATGTTATCACTTGATGTTTTTCGGGTGCATTCCATTTGGCCATGTTTATGGGGTGGACAAGCCCACCAAATAACCTAAATGATTGAAAGAGAACTGATCCTTTGGAGATACAGGGCACACTGTTGCAAGTCCAATAGACCACAGCTGCTTTCGATTCACAAACGTGTTGTGACTTTCCATGGGCCGTTGGCGCATCAACTCATCCCGTGCCTTGCTCAAAGCATCCTGGGGGGGTTGGAAGTGGTATCAGGAAACGGTGTGTCGAACACGAACTATAGAGACAAAACATGTTTGACAGATCTTTGGGGAAATAAGCGACAATGCTTGATGCAAAAAAGGAACGGCTACATAGCCCAGAATCACTCTAGCGTTGAAAGCCTTTGTGATCAAAACGATGTATTCAGGTAGTCCTTTGGCTGAAACACTGTGAAGTTTGAACCTCCTTTGCGAGCATTTGATTTTGTTCCTGGTGCAAAACTGTCGAAACTCTGCATAGAGGTGGTCTAAAGACTCTCGAAAGGTGCAGCCCCATCTCGAAGCACGGTGTTCTGCAAGAATTGTCAGCCCTTCAGCATTCAACACATGAAATAGACCAAGGTTGCAGACATGCATGGAGCAATGTCTCCTTGGTACAGGGACTGTTGTTGAATATGTATATGTTTACCCGCTGACTTGTTGGAAAGGAACCTGTATTGAAAACACATCATCTAATGACGAGACTCAGCATATCAACATGAAACCCAGGGATGTTGACCAGGTGGTTCTGCTGTGCAGGAATGCAGTTCGTGAGGAAATCATGGGTGCTTCGAGCAAGTTGGCTCCAATCCATTGCAAAGTCTGTGAATAGATGGCCAAACCTACAGGGATATAATTTGATGGGTTCCACTCTCCACTAAAAAACACCATGGAAAACCATCGTGTTGGTGGTCTGGACTTTAATTCTGTGATCTTGCATTGAATATCAGTGCGATGCTTTTCTAGCTTTTCTATCACCTCGAACCCCCATGCCTGGATATCCGGGCAGCGTGGCAACGATAACAAATGTCCCCGCGCTTCCAGTAAGGCTCGATTTCAAAAAAGAATTTGTGCCATGCCCAATCGCCCTTGAACTCGGTGACTGCAAACTTGGTGGACATAGTACTGCCAGCAGAAAGTTTTTCCCGTCGGGTGAGTTCAAACCCTTCAGAAGAAGCTATGTTTGCCTGCGGGCGCCTCCCCTGCAATGCCAACTTCAAGCTCCACGCAGCTCTTTTGAGGATAGGTCTCATAGTGTCCTCAGTCAAGTCTGTGAAACCCCGAAGCGCATGCCACGTGCTACAGGTCGTTTGATCTGATCCTACATGGCTTCCTCTGTGAACTTTACATAGGCAGGGACCCAGTTCACAGGCGTTGTGGGCCAAGACTCGACTCCATAGACTCCCACTGCTATGGCCGATGATACTATGAAGAACAAAAAGTGCTCACCATTTGAACCTCACATGAGAGCAACTAGAAACCACCAAACATAATCATATGGCCATAAAGATCTGACACGTCACAAAAATTCTAAAGTTCTTTCCAGGGAACCTGCTTTTTGCACCAAGGGTGATCCAAGGGTTAAGGCTATGAATTTGTCGCCGTAGGTCAGGTTGTATCTTGCTTCATCCCCATAAATACACATAGGAAAACAACCCTTACCTGGGTGACGACGCGCCCAATCAGCATCAGCCACGGTAGTCCAATGATGCCAGTATCTCCTGGGGCAAAAAAGTCGATGGTGTTGTGACTCTGGAGTCGTATACTTTAAAGGAAATTGCATCGATGTGCTTTTTTGGGCTTGGGAGGAAATGTTCTGATGGGTGTCAAGGCTCTGAATTTCATCATCGGAGACCCAAATGCGACCAGTGGAGTACAAGTAGTCCAACATCTCATGTGGGTCGTACATTGGAAGAGGTTGCTCATACACAGCTTGAAACGCAGGGTCAGATCCAGCATCGCAGACTGGGCACTCCACCCAAACTGTGTCCAAAGGCAAGCGAATGAATCTGAAAAGATCCCGATGGTGAACTTTCTCATTGACACGGGCGATCTTGGCTATGCGGTTGGTCACAGGATGGCAATTTGCTTCCCCTGCCTCCTGCCAGAATATGACCAAACATACGGGCTTGAGGTATGGAACCTCTTGGCTTGTGGAATGTTCAACCAGTAAACAAAACATTGAATTAAAATCGCCGCTTCATGTTCACCAGTTTAAAGAAGCAATATCCGTGTCCTTCACAACAGCTTGGGCTTGTTGAACAGCGCTTATTGCACTTTCGCGGCCTCCCCCCAAACGATCAAGCCTCAAAGCAGCACACGATCAAACAACGATGTTTATGTACGACACATGGGCCATGTTTGGTGGGTTACCCTGGAATCACAATCAATCCCAACAGTATCCGACGATGCCGCACCCACGAAGCAAAACACCTCACCCCAGCCACGAAGCAGGCTCGAAGCGAAGTCAGCATTGCTGGACCCTGACGAGGCCACTGCATGACCTGCGTCGGGGATGCTCTGATGTAAACCCGCCCTAAAACCACCTCGGTGTGTGGAGGAAACACGTCGATCTTCCAAAAGTCCATGTTCAGGTTCCATGTTGATCTTGCCAGGCCTAGGTGTAGCTCAACTGTTTGTCCCTAGACGTGTTGGCAACTGAATTTGATGAATTGGTTTAAGCCGTCACACTACAGGTTTGTTGAATGCCAGGCTTGTGCCCGAATGCAGCCAAACAGTTTTCCCACCCTGTCGCTTGATCTCAAGCTTCCCAAATACGCCTCAACATCAGAATTTTCTGTGAGTAGCATCAGGCCAGAAAAACAAGGCAAGATTGATGCGCTGACTCATTGTCACATGCATGGCCATGTGTAGCACACACTACAATAGTGCTCAATGGCCTCCGACGCTCACAGACTCCTAATCTAATTGTGTTGAGGGCGCTTCAACGTGACTGCACAGCCCTCATCCAGAAAGCCCTTAACAGTTTTTTTGGCTGACAGCTACCAGTGGGTGAGTTCTATCCGCAAACCGGGCTTCAGCTGTAATGCACGTTGCGAGACCCCAAAAGATATTGAAGCGCATCGGTGTTCAATTGCGCCCTTCGAGAAAACACTACGGTGCCGCACTCTTTGCGGCCTTGCTGCCAGATTTGGCTTTGGCTTTGGCTTTCGGTTTCAGATGCCCATTCACAGTACTAGAAACCTTCCTGAAGGTGGTCAGCGCATTGTTCAAATCCTCAGAATACGCACACCATTAAGGCAAACTCCATGGGCACTCAAATCTACAGTAAATGCTTTCTGCGGAGTTTTGATCCCTATACTATACATGACAGTTCAGCTGAGGGTCCACAAGGCCGGTTTGAAAGCCTTCTTGACTAGCCAAAATCCTCACACCTTGATTCTTCGCATCCTCCAACCGTTTCGTATGACTTGCCAGGTCGGCCGAGAGCGCAGCCTTGTAACCTGTGCTCCTGGCATGAAGGCTCAGGGCAAGGGCTTTGGGGAGGATGGCTTTAGGGGGTAGAACAAGCAGCGGTTCACGCACGACATGTTCATTTAATATCATTTAATGATATGTCCATGCAGCCAAGACACACGGTTGCCTCACCTGCCGCCTTGAGCTTGGCCGCGACAAGCTGGCCGTCAGTCAGACATTTGTTCGCTGCTCCAACTGCCTTATAGGGTTGATGGGCAAGGTTGCAGCCACATGATCCCCAAACCATTCCCAAGACACACCTCAAAACCAAGCATTGTCTGTTGATGTATGAGGACATAATATGATCATGGAATGCCATGCATGGATCTTCAAAGCTAGGGTGCAGCTTCCAACTGTTGCTTCACAGTCTTTTCCTTCTTAGTTTTGTCTGGCTTAGGTGGCGGTGGTGGCCTCATGTTAGGGGCGGCCGGAGCATCGAATCCATCATCCTTCATCACGTTATCCCTCAGTTGCGCAAAAGTCATGAACACTGGAGGCATCTTCACCAGTGATCAGGAGACAATGAGGAAACAATACAGAATCTAATATGCTTGGGCACATGGTGTCATAGAAACTATCCTCCTCAACCTCCGCAGTTCTGGACAAGGTAGCTTCAGATTCATGACGCTGTTTCTTGGATTCCTTGGCGCCCACCCAGCATTTGTACCTCCAAAGTTCCTGCCGCTGTGGGAAGTCTGGGTTCCTGAGCACGGTGGATGCGTGTTGGTGTTCCACTACAGCAAAATAAATAAAACATATACAGCATGTTAGAGCTGTAATGTGTGTGCTCCATGACTTGACATTTTTGGTGCACCACAAATGCCTGCCTAGATTCACCTTGATGAACCGCCCCTTGGACCTGGGAGGCAGTTTCTTCTCAGCCTCGACATGTCGATCTACAAGATCATTGGCCAGGGCCTCGTCCCCAAGATGCTTCACCAGATCAGTTTTGAGTAGGAACTCAAACAAATCTTCATGGTCCGAAAAGTTCTTCTTGGAGACCCGTATTGCAAGAGCGCACTTCTCCCAAGATCCCTTGCAAGACAACCAGCCAAGGTAGAGCTCATGCATCTTGCTTTTGCCATGTTGTTCTTAGTTGGGAGGACATGCTGTGAGAAACTCCAGATCTGCCCTCTAAAGGGTGCATGAGTTGAACTTGCAATGCACTGTAGTGGTGAGTCTTTAGAAGAACCGGTACATCTCACAGTATATTGGTGCCCTTTTTGTACTTATAAGAGGGCACCAAAACACTGAAAAAAGGGCACTTTTAAATTTTGAAAAAAGACACACATTATTAAAACTGATGGGCTGAGGTAACCAAGGCTCCCATATCAGCCTCAGCCCGTTTCTCCGCAATTTCAGGTGGCACAGGGTTCTTGGTACCTTGCAACGCATGGGGAGAATTTGTGCTTGGTGGATGCTTAGACGTTTGGAGCAAGCATTCATTCTAAACATGTCCAAGAATTGTCAACAAGGTGCTCCTGATTCGCCGGTAGAATCTCATGTACAATGCAGTAGGGTTCAATGGCCTTCCGTACTTGTCAGTCCTCCAAGTCTTCCCCTCACACCCGGGCTCCTCAGGTTCCTCATCCTCCTCCTGACCGTGGCGTCCGGGCTCGGTGGTGCCTTGATGCTCAGGATGTTCGGTCCCAAGTGGTTGTTCATCACCAAGCGGAGAGAAAGAAATTGTTGGTTGCCGCTGTTGCAAAGCTTCGCGCAATTTGCGCACATCATCAGGCTCATTTGACAAGTCTTCGCGGGATTTGTGCTCATCGGGTGCAGGGGTGTCATCAAGATTTTGAAACTCATCCCATGACGAGCTTGATCGCCAACCCCAGCCCTCCCAAGATCCAGGGTTCTTCCACGAGGAAATCCAACTGTCCTGACCGTAGGCATAAACGGTACGGTCCCGCTGATGGTCCCAGTACTGGGAGTAATGTGCCGGGTAGTAGTTGTAGTCATATCCCGAACCCCACCATGACTTGCCTTGTGACCCATAGTATTCACGCTGGCTGTGACCAGACAACCACCTGGGGGTCTTTTTGGAGCCATGTAGGAAGGTGAAGGCGACCAATAGTGGTGTGCTTTGGGTGGCGGGGTGATCAACTCACTTGGTATGCCATTTGCATGCAGTGCAGCTCTGTCACCATTGACAACACGCACCTCACCATCCCCACCACCACCCTGAGCAGGCTCCACAACCTCCCCCCACAGGCTTTTCATCATGCCCATCACCACCCCCAGCAGGCTCCACAACCTCCCCCACAGGCTTTTCATCATGCCCATCACCACCCC